TTGTGCTTCTTCCCGCGTGCATCATAATTCGATAATGCACGCTAAAGCATGACAATTCTTATTGCCAGGTAGTATCAGGAGCTATGGTAGTATGTAGTTTTTAATTAGATTTTTTTTTTTGGAATGTTTTGCGAGTATACTCAGTTACTCAGTTTTAGTGGTTTGGTGCAAAGCATTATTTACCTTTCTTTGTAGCAAAGACTTTTTGAGAATCAATGACGGGATGGGAAAAATACTTGGTGTGTACTGTGGTAACAAGACCGGTGAAAATCTTCTTGTAACTGGAGACAAAGTGGAAATAATATTTCACTCAGACGGAGAGATTGAGCAAAGAGGATATCTGATAACTTTCACTCTGGTTTCGTTGCCCTCGGTTTCAAGCGGTAAGTGGGACCATAAGGAAGCTAATAAAACTTGAAGAGTGGCTAGTTTTACGCAGCTCGTTTTGTCCCGGCCAAGGGACTCATCCCAGAGATCTTTCTGCTTGGCAAACTTGTTGGGCATCGCTAACAAAATGATAATGATAACAATAATAATAATAATAATAATAATAATTTTTTAAAATAGTAATAATAAAGTTTTTTGGGCGCATTTAAAAAACTATATGCGCTTACATTACTATAAAAAATAAATTAGTTTAATCCTATTAAATATTTCTAATAACAGTAATAAATAAATAAATATGATGACAGCAATCTCGTCTTATATTGAATAAGAATTCCCGACCGCATTTCATTTTCACGAGAAAAACTGATACTCGAGTTTTCGACAAAACTAATACATAAATAGCGTCTCAAGAGACGATGTCTCTTGAGCGTGCTAATTTTCAATACGCCGAAACAGAGTTTTGTCATCGATTGCTATTTTGAATGTAAACATTGACATGAATATTTGGCGTTTTAAACCCTAAGTGCGCGGATTCTCTTTAAGGTTTACACACATATATAACGGGGGTTCTGGGACACATATTATTTTATAGAATCTCGGCTCTTGAAGTTGTGAAAATAAAATCTTTATTTTTACTACTCTAAGAGCCAAGATTCTATAAAATAAAAGTTGTCGCAAAACCCCCCGTTATATGTGTGGGGGGTTGGAATCTCGGAAAACTGAAGCTTTTGGGAATGTAACCGGAACTCGCGGGGGCTGGTGTCCCAAAATTGTTTTCTATTTGAAGAAATATGTTGCCTTGGTATAAAGAGCATAATGGCTACTTCAAGATTTTCATCTGACGTGTTGGAATTGTTCTATGGATTAATTCCGGAAGAGGAAAATAAAAGACAAAAGAGGCGTCTAGAGCCTGTGAGAGTTGAGAGAGGCATGGATTTTGAATTGCTTAGAAATAATATTAGTGAATGGCTTCGTGTATGAAAAATGACTGTTCCAGAAGGTTATCCATACAAAGCTGATCTTTTGAAATTTGCGCAAAAAACAAAAACAAGATTTACTGATGTGATAAAAAATGAAATCACCAGCTTAGCGATTGTCAAAACACAATTTGGGCTTCTTGTTAAGTTTTCAATCATCAGAAACAATGAATCGCAATACATGGAACATTATTTCAAACAGAACAATCCTGTGAGTATTAACAGAAACAATAAAGCAATGATGAATGACGCCTTCAACCGCTTCATTGATCAAGGGAAAGGTGAAATAGAGGCATGGTCGCAAGCTTAAGAGGTTCAGGCTGGGTGATAGAAAGGATTTTGGCTGCATTTGTTAATGCTGCTCGATACGAACCATTTCGTGGAGGAAGCTATTTTCCTCTCCCAAAAAAGTTGCA